AATCAGTCGAGCGGCAATATCTTTTCATCGGTTGCGTAACGCTGTGTGGAAGCTACCTGGTCTGTCGCTCCGCACTAAGCTTCAGGTCTTCTCGGCCACGGTCATTCCCTCCCTTCTCTACGCTTGCGAAACGTGGACCCCCCTAATGGAGCATCTTCGCCGGTTAGAAACATTTAGGCTGGCCTGCCTACGATCCATCTTGGGTTTAACCAGCAAGCTGGATTGTGTGAGGAGCTCACAAATCCTTGAAAGATCTGGGCAGGGTCCCATCGGTGAGCTCCTCCGGCGGGCAAGGCTGCGATGGCTGGGTCATGTAGCCCGGATGCCCAATCACCGCATGCCGAAACAGCTTTTGTTCGACTGGATCGAGGGAGCTAAATGGGCACGGCACGGGCTAGAGAAGAGATGGAGTGATGTGGTACAGGAGGACGTGGAGCTGAGTGGACTTGCCGATGACTGGTACCAGCGGTGTCAAGATCGGCCTCTGTGGAGGAGGCTCGTGAAGGACGCTGCTACTGGGCAGTTGGAGGCAGTCGCCCTCCAACAACAACGGAGGGCGGAGGAGCGACGCTCACAACAACGAGCGGAGCGCCGGGTGGCTAAAGCACAGCAGGTTGGCACAGTAGGGGGCACAGGTGGTGCATCAGCCAGTCATCTCAGTCAGTCGACCCGTGGCACCTGGGTCTGCCCCGTGACCTCCTGCCAGCGGGCGTTCGACACTTCACGTGGTAGCCTCAAGGTGCACCTAGCCTGGCACAAGCGTCGTGGTGACGTCACCGCCACTTAGTGGCGAATGGCGGTGGTTGTTGTCTGTGTCAGTGTGTGTCTGTGTCTGTCTCTGTGTGTCTATATATCAGCCACGTGGTGTGAGCTGCCATCACCACGTGTTGATGATGATGATATCATCATCACCACGTGGTGTGAGCTGCCATCACCACGTGGTGATGATGATGATATCATCATCACCACGTGGTGTGAGCTGCCATCACCACGTGGTGATGATGATGATGACATCAGCCACGTGGTGTGAGCTGCCATCACCACGTGTTGATGATGATGATGACATCAGCCACGTGGTGTGAGCTGCCATCACCACGTGGTGATGATGATGATATCATCACCACGTGGTGTGAGCTGCCATCACCACGTGTTGATGATGATGATGACATCAGCCACGTGGTGTGAGCTGCCATCACCACGTGGTGATGATGATGATATCATCATCACCACGTGGTGTGAGCTGCCATCACCACGTGTTGATGATGATGATGACATCAGCCACGTGGTGTGAGCTGCCATCACCACGTGGTGATGATGATGATATCATCATCACCACGTGGTGTGAGCTGCCATCATCACCACGTGGTGATGATATCAGCCACGTGGTGCCATCACCACGTGGTGATGATGATGATGATGGTGATGATGATGAAAATGGAAACTCTTGAGAGTCGCATCGGTGATGTTTGAGTCGTCCGTGACCCACGGCCTGTCCGCCAGGTGCATGGGCTGGATCCCGAGACTTGGAACTCGGTGGAAGTCGTCCCCATCGACATAGCGGACAACTCCGTCGTCAGCCAGGCGGTGAGACGCACGGGGAGACACGGGGGAGACACACGGAGACACACGGGGAGACACACGGAGACACACGGGGAGACACACGGGGAGACGGAGACACACGGGGAGACACACGGGGGAGACGGAGACACACGGGGAGACACACGGGGAGACGGAGACACACGGGGAGACACGGGGGAGACACGGGGGAGACGGAGACACACGGGGAGACGGAGACACACGGGGAGACGGAGACACACGGGGAGACACACGGGGAGACACACGGGGAGACACACGGAGAGACACACGGGGAGACGGAGACACACGGGGAGACACAGGGGAGACACACGGGGAGATGGAGACACACGGAGAGACACACGGGGAGACACATGGGGGGGAGACACGGGGGGAGAGACGGGGAGACACACGGGGGAGACACACGGGGAGACACGGGGGGACGTGGGGGAGACACACGGGGAGACACACGGGGAGAGAGACGGGGAGAGAGACGGGGAGACGCACGAGGGACGGAGACACAAGGGGGAGACACAAGGGGGAGACACACGGGTAGAGATACACGGGGAGACACGAGGGAGACACACGGGGAGACACGGTGGGGAGACACGGGGGGAGACACGGGGGGAGACACGGGGGGATGCGGGGACATGTGGGGTAGACACGGGGACGTGGGCGACGCGGGGGGAGACACGGGGATTTGTGAGAGACACGGGGGAGACACGGGGGAGACACGGGGTGGGGGGAGACACGGGGTGGGGGGAGACACGGGGTGGGGGGAGACACGGGGGAGACACGGGGTGGGGGGAGACACGTCGACGTGGGAGACACGGGGGAGACACGGGGATTTGTGAGAGACACAGGGGAGACACGGGGTGGGGGGAGACACGGGGTGGGGGGAGACACGTCGACGTGGGAGACACGGGGGAGACACGGGGATTTGTGAGAGACACAGGGGAGACACGGGGTGGGGGGAGACACGGGGTGGGGGGAGACACGGGGTGGGGGGAGACACGGAGGGAGACACGGGGAGAGACACAGGGAAAGACACGGGGTGGGGGGAGACACGGGGAGACACACGGGGAGACACAGGAGACAAGTGTAACAGCACTTGCCCCTGCAGCCTTTATCTTAGGCTGCGTGTGGGCTACCTGGGGGAGCTTTGCCTCTACCTGTGCCCCCCACACGGTGCAGGACTACAAGAAGGAGGAGGACCCCAGCCTGGTGAGCTCCACCAAGACCGGGAGGGGACCCCTGGGGCCCAAGTGGAAGGTACCCCGGGGGGGGGGGGGTGGGGGGTGGGGGGGGGGGGGGGGGGGGGTGGGGGGGGTGTGGGGGGTGTGTGGGTGGGGGGGTGGGTGTGTAGTGGTGTGTGTGGGCGTGTGTGTCGGGGTGTGTGTGTGGGGGTGTGTGGGGTGTGTGTGTTGGGGTGTGTGGTGGTGTGTGTGTAGGTGTGTGTGGGGTGTGGGTGTGTAGGTGGTGTGTGTGGGCGTGTGTGTCGGGGTGTGTGTGTGGGGGTGTGTGGGGTGTGTGTGTTGGGGTGTGTGGTGGTGTGTGTGTAGGTGTGTGTGGGGTGTGGGTGTGTAGGTGGTGTGTGTGGGCGTGTGTGTCGGGGTGTGTGTGTGGGGGTGTGTGGGGGTGTGTGTAGGGTGTGTGTGGGGGTGTGTGTGTGGGGGTGTGTGTGTGTGGGGTGTGTGTGTGTGGGGGTGTGTGTGTGTGGGGTGTGTGTGGGGGTGTGTGTGTGTGTGTGTGTGGGGGTGTGTGTGGTGTGGGGTGGGTGTGTGTGGTGGGGTGTGTGGGCGTGTGTGTGGGGGGTGTATGTGTGTGGGGGGTGTGTGTGGGGGTGTGTGTGGGTGTGTGGGGGGCTGTGTAGGGTGTGTGTGGGTGTGTGTGTGTGTGGGGGGTGTGTGTGTGTGTAGGTGTGTGTGGGGTGTGTGGTGTGTGTGTTTAGGTGTGTGTGTGTGGATATGTGTGTGTGGTGTGTGGGGTGTGTGTGTGTGGGGTGTGTGTGTGGTGTGTGTGGGGTGTGTGTGTGGTGTGTGTGTGGGGTGTGTGTGTGTGTGTGTGTGGGGTGTGTGTGTGTGTGTGTGTGGGGTGTGTGTGTGTGTGGTGTGTGTGTGGGGTGTGTGTGTGTGGGGTGTGTGTGTGGGCTGTGTGTGTGTGGTGTGTGTGGTGTGTGTGTGGTGTGTGTGGGGGTGTGTGTAGGTGTGTGTGGTGTGTGTGGGGTGTGTGTGGGGGTGTGTGTGGGGTGTGTGTGGGGGTGTGTGTGTGTGTAGGTGTGTGTGGGTGTGTGTGTGGGGTGTGTGTAGGTGTGTGTGGGGTGTGTGTGGGGGGTGTGTGTGTGTGTAGGTGTGTGTGTGGGGTGTGTGGGTGTGTGTGTGTGGGGGGTGTGGTGGTGTGTGTGGGGGTGTGTGGGGTGGTGTGTGGGTGTGTGTGGGGGTGTGTGGGGTGGTGTGTGTGTGTGTGTGTGGGTGTGTGTGTGTGTAGGTGTGTGTGTGTAGGTGTGTGGGTGTGTAGGTGGGGGTGTGTGTAGGTGGGGGTGTGTGTGTGTGGGGTGTGTGTGTCACTGTGTGGGTGTGTGGGGTGTGTGTGTCACTGTGTGTGTGTGTGGGGTGTGTGTGTGTGGGGTGTGGGTGTGTGTGTGTGTGGGTGTGTGTGGTGTGTGTGTGGGTGTGTGTGTGTGTGGGGTGTGTGTGTGTGTGTGTGGGTGTCACTGTGTGTGTGTGGGTGTCACTGTGTGTGTGGTGTGTGTGTGGTGTGTGTGTGGGGTGTGTGTGTGTGGGGTGTGTGTGTGTGTGGGGTGTGTGTGTGTGGGGTGTGTGTGTGTGGGTGTCACTGTGTGTGTGGTGGTGTGTGTGTGGGGTGTGTGGGTGTGTGGGTGTGTGTGGGTGTGTGTGTGTGGTGTGTGTGTGTGGTGTGTGTGTCACTGTGTGTGTGTGGGTGTCACTGTGTGTATGGGGTGTGTGTGGGGTGTGTGTGTATGGGGTGTGTGTGTGTGGGGTGTGTGTGTGTGGTGTGGGAGTGTGTGTGTGTGTGGTGTGTGTGTGGGTGTCACTGTGTGTGTGGCCACAGTGCCGGTAGCCGCTTGCGAACAGCACTTGCCCCCTACAGTCTTAGCAGGCTACACGGGGGACCTTTGTCTGTGTCTGTGTGCAGTCGGAGCTGCTGAGTGGTACGAGTTGCCCCCACATGTGTGCCTACAAGCTGGTGACCATCAAGTTCAAGTGGTGGGGGGTGCAAGACAAAGTGGAGAGTTTCATACAGAAGGTGCACACACACAGAGACACACACAGACAGAGAGACACGCACAGAGACACAGAGACACACGCAGAGACACGCAGAGACTCACACAGAGACTCACACAGAGACACACACAGAGACACACACAGAGACACAGACAGAGACACAGAGAGAGACACACACAGAGACACAGAGAGACACACACAGAGACACGCAGAGACTCACACAGAGACTCACACAGAGACTCACACAGAGACACACACAGAGACACACACACAGAGACACAGAGACACACACAAAGGCTCACACAGAGACTCACACATACACACACAGAGAGACACACACAGAGAGAGACGCAGAGACACACAGAGACACACAGAGACACGCAGAGACACTCAGAGACACACAGAGACACACAGAGACACACAGAGAGAGAGAGACACAAGAGAGACACACAGAGAGCCACACACACACAGAGACACACGCAGAGACACACAGAGACACACAGAGAGACACAGAGAGACACACACACAGAGAGACACGCACAGAGAGAGACACGCACAGAGAGAGACACGGAGAGACACACACAGACAGAGACACGCACAGAGAGAGACACGCACACAGACAGAGACACGCAGAGACACACACAGAGACTCACACAGAGACACACACAGAGACACACACAGACAGAGACACGCACAGAGAAAGACACGCACAGAGAGAGACACGCACAGAGAGAGACACGCACAGAGAGAGACACGCACAGAGAGAGACACGCACAGAGAGAGACACAGAGAGAGACACAGAGAGAGACAGAGACACGTGCAGAGAGAGACACGCGCAGAGAGAGACACGCACAGAGAGAGACACAGAGAGAGACACAGAGAGAGACACAGAGAGAGACACAGAGAGAGACACAGAGAGAGACAGAGACACGCACAGAGAGAGACACGCGCAGAGAGAGACACGGACAGAGAGAGACACAGACAGAGAGAGACACAGACAGAGAGAGACACAGACAGAGAGAGACACAGACAAAGAGAGACACACAGAGAGAGACACGCGCAGAGAGAGACACGCACAGAGACACACAGAGAGAGACACGCACAGACAGACACGCACAGACAGAGACACGCACAGAGACACGCAGAGAGAGACACGCACAGAGAGAGACACGCAGAGAGAGAGAGACACGCACAGAGAGAGACACGCAGAGAGAGACACGCACAGAAAGACACGCAGAGAGAGAGACACGCAGAGAGAGAGACACGCACAGACAGACACGCACAGACAGACACGCACAGACAGACACAGACAGACACGCACAGACAGACATGCACAGACAGACACGCACAGACACCCACGGAGACACGCACGGGGACACACACAGACACGGAGACGCACACACATCAATTAGCCTCCTATCTGTACCAAATGGAGATTCCCCCGGTACAGCCATCGCAGGCTTCACGAACTACGTGGTCAAAATAGATGTTAAATAATGTGGGAGCCAGAGGACATCCCTGTCCCACCCCAAGGTGTACAGGGAATGGCTCGGACTCCCGGCCACGTAGTTTTACCCGGGCCCGCTCACCATCATGAAGGTCCTTAATGATCCTGAGCAAGAGGGTCAGGTACTCCAAAAGCACGAAGAACGACCCAGAGGCCCAGGACCTACTGATGGCATCATAGGCCTCGACCAGGTCAATAAAGCAGAGACGTAGGTCTTGCTGGAATTCCCTACACCTCTGCTGCAGCAGACGGACAGAAAATATGGCGTCTGTGCAGGACCGCCCTTTCCTGAAACCGCACTGGGGCTCCGCAAGCCTCTCCCCCTCAGCGTGCCTGGCAAGGCGACGTTGAATAATCCTTTTTGCCAGGACCTTTCCCGGGCCTCACACTGAGGAGTGAAATGCCCCTGTAGTTGTTACGGTCTGCGCGGGTCTCCCTTCTTAAAGAGGGGGGGACCACCAGGGCATCCTTCCAATCCTCCCGCGGAACCCGTCCAGCGGTCCGGGCTGCTGTTATTAGCGACGGTTTGGACTTTACCCGTGGGCCACCCAGAGTGGCTTATTTTTTTTTGCAACTTGTGGAGTTAAACCCTGTCGGTGTCCCGGTTCTCCTGGCCAACAAAAACAGGGTTTGGCCAGGAGACGCGTCACGGACGCCTCTCCCGCCTTCCGGCACAGGCTTGGCTGGATATTTCTAGATGTTTTGTGTCCCAGCGCGCGTGTTCAGTGGTAATTGAGTTGGAGGTGGAGGGGTTTAAGAGGCCCTATGCGCCTTCCAATCCTGTGGAACCCGTCCCAGTGGTCCAGACACACACACACAGAGGCACGCACACACACACAGAGGCACAAACACACACAGAGGCACGCACACGCACAGAGACACACACACAGACACACACACACACACAGAGACACGCACACACAGACACGCACACACAGAGACACGCACACACACACAGAGGCACGCACACACACACAGAGGCACGCACACAGACACAGAGACACACACACACAGAGACACGCACACAGACACACACACAGACACGCACACAGACACGCACACAGACACGCACACAGACACGCACACAGACACACACAGACACGCAGACAGGCACATAGACACACAGATAAACACACAGACACGCAGACAGGCACACAGACACAGCAGCACACAACAACAACAACAACAACCGCCATTCGCCACTAAGTGGCGGTGACGTCACCACGACGCTTGTGCCAGGCTATGTGCACCCTGAGGCCACGTGAAGTGTCGAACGCCCGCTGGCAGGAGGTCACGGGGCAGACCCAGGTGCCACGGGTCGACTGACTGAGATGACTGGCTGATGCACCACCTGTGCCCCCTACTGTGCCAACCTGCTGTGCTTTAGCCACCCGGCGCTCCGCTCGCTGTTGTGAGCGTCGCTCCTCCGCCCTCCGTTGTTGTTGGAGGGCGACTGCCTCCAACTGCCCAGTAGCATCCTTCACGAGCCTCCTCCACAGAGGCCGATCTTGACACCGCTGGTACCAGTCATCGGCAAGTCCACTCAGCTCCACGTCCTCCTGTACCACATCACTCCATCTCTTCTCTAGCCCGTGCCGCGCCCGCTTTGCCCCCTCAATCCGGCCAAACAAAAGCTGTTTCGGCATGCGGTGGCTGGGCATGCGGGCTACATGACCCAGCCATCGCAGCCTTGCCTGCCGGAGGAGCTCACCGATGGGACCCTGCCCAGATCTTTCAAGGATTTGTGAGCTCCTCACACAATCCAGTCTGGTTAAACCCAGGATGGATCGTAGGCAGGTCAGCCTAAATGTTTCTAACCGGCGAAGATGTTCCATTAGGGGGGTCCACGTTTCGCAAGCGTAGAGAAGGGAGGGAATGACCGTGGCCGAGAAGACCTGAAGCTTAGTGCGGAGCGACAGACCAGGTAGCTTCCACACAGCGTTGCGCAACCGATGAAAAGATATTGCCGCTCGACTGATTCGGAGTGAGACCTCTGCTGTTAAACTGGAGCCAGTCATAAGCACACTGCCCAGGTATGGGAAACTCTCCACTCTCTCCACAACTGCCCCATCACCGATTGGGAGTTGTGGGGGTGGAGTGTCCGATGGTACAAAATACCCAGGCAGGTGCTTAGTTTTGGTGGGGCTGATGGTAAGGCCCCACCTCTTAGTGGCACGCTCCAGTCTCAGCAGCAGCGTCTCCAACTCCTCCTCTGACTGAGCAGCTATTACCAAGTCATCAGCATACATAACGTGGTTGAGCAATAGGGAGCCATCCCTTGACCGCACCCGGGCATCGATTAGCCTCCCATTATATCTGTACCATATGGAGATTCCCCCGGTACAGCTATTGAAGGCTTCACGAACTACGTGGTCAAAATAGATGTTAAATAATGTGGGAGCCAGAGGACATCCCTGTCGCACCCCAAGGTGTACAGGGAATGGCTCTGACTCCCGGCCACGTAGTTTTACCCGGGCCCGCTCACCATCATGAAGGTCCTTAATGATCGTGAGCAGAGGGTCAGGTACTCCAAAAGCACGAAGAACGACCCAGAGCCCAGGCCTACTGATGGTATCATAGGCCTTGACCAGGTCAATAAAGCAGAGATGTAGGTCTTGTTGGAATTCCCTACACCTCTGCTGTAGCAGACGGACAGAAAATATGGCATCTGTGCAGGACCGCCCTTTCCTGAAACCGCATTGGGGCTCCGCAAGCCTCTCCTCAGCGTGCCTGGCAAGGCGATGCTGAATAATCCTTGCCAGGACCTTTCCCGGCACACTGAGGAGTGAGATGCCCCTGTAGTTGTTACAGTCTGTGCGGTCCCCCTTCTTAAAAAGGGGGACCACCAGGGCATCCTTCCAATCCTGCGGAACCCGTCCAGTGGTCCAGACTGTTGTTATGATGTCATATAGGGCAGTCTGTGCACAAACGCCACCCTCCCTCAGCATTTCGCTTGGGAGATCATCTCTGCCCGCACACACACACACAGACACACAGAAACACACACAGACAGACAAAGGTACCCTGTCTGTCTGTGTGTGTGTGTGGTGGTGATGTTGATGATGGTGGTGATGTTGGTCATGATGATGATGGTGTTGATGGTGGTGGTGATGCTGATGATGGTGATGCCGATGATGGTGGTGGTGATGCCGATGATGGTGGTGGTGATGCTGATGATGGTGATGCCGATGATGGTGGTGGTGATGCCGATGATGGTGGTGATGCCGATGGTGGTGGTGATGCCGATGATGGTGGTGATGATGATGATGTTGTTGATGATGATGATGGTGGTGATGATGATGATGGTGGTGGTGGTGATGATGGTGATGCCGATGATGGTGGTGGTGATGCCGATGGTGGTGGTGATGCCGATGATGGTGGTGATGCCGATGATGGTGGTGATGATGATTATGGTGGTGATGATGATGATGTTGTTGATGATGATGATGGTGGTGATGATGATGGTGGTGGTGGTGATGCCGATGATGGTGGTGGTGATGCCGATGATGGTGGTGATGTTGATGTTGATGATGGTGGTGATGATGATGGTGGTGGTGATGTTGATGGTGTTGATGGCAAAATAGCATAATAGCGTACGACGTTTCGGTTGCAACACAAGCAGCCATCATCAGGTACAGAAGAGCTCAATTTACGAGAGAGGGGACACACATAACCTCGGATGTATACACAGACACCCAAGTAGGGGGGAACTGACTCAGAGACAACAGGGTACAACAGAGAGAGAATCACACCAGACAAACAGGATTTAGCAAATTTCGATTTAAAGCTTTCGTGACTGCAATGATTCATCTTCTTTGGTTGTTTCGGTAAAGTCACCACGTAGAATGAGAATAAAATAATAAATTGATAAAATAAAATAACACAATAATATTCTCACGACGTTTCGGCCACAACACAAGCGGCCTTCATCAGGTGAAGGGGGCGAGACTGTCTGGTAGGACAGCGCTGGCTCTTTCACTCCACCGCTGGCTCTTTCACTCCAGCGCTGTCCTACCAGACAGTCCTACCAGACAGTCTCGCCCCTTCACCTGATGAAGGCCGCTTGTGTTGTGGCCGAAACGTCGTGAGAATATTATTGTGTTATTTTATCAATTTATTATTTTATTCTCATTCTACGTGGTGGTGACTTTACCGAAATAACCAAAGAAGAGGATTTAGCAACATTTTGGAAACCATATAAAGCAACACAGACGGTCGGTCAAAACACAATTACCGCATAGTCGCGGTTGATCACGCTATTTCAAAGATTGCTAAATTGCAAGTTGAGCATGAAACTCAAACTACAGACCGTACACACAAGTTCCATACTCAACTTGCAATTTAGCAATCTTTGAAATAGCGTGATCAACCGCGACTATGCGTTAATTGTGTTTTGACCGACCGGCTGTGTTGCTTAATATGGTTTCCAAAATGTTGCTAAATCCTGTTTGTCTGGTGTGAGTCTCTCTCTCTGTTGTACCCTGTTGTATCTGTGTCTGTGTATACATCTGAGGTTATGTGTTTCCCCTCTCTCGTAAATTTAGCTCTTCTGTACCTGATGATGGCTGCTTGTGTTGCAACCGAAACGTCGCACGCTGTTGTGTTATTTTATTACTTCTTATTTACACGTGTGACTTTACCGAGAAAAAACCACAAAGAGTAATCCCTGCAGTCAGGAAAGCTTCAAATCAAGTCGGTGTTGATGGTGTTGGTGGTGGTGATGGTGTTGATGTTGGTGATGGTGGTGGTGATGACGATGGTGATGTTGGTGATGGTGGTGGTGTTGATGGTGATGATGTTGGTGATGTTGGTGATGTTGGTGATGATGTTGATGGTGTTGATTATGGTGTTGATGGTGGTGTTGATGGTGGTGATGATGATGGTGATGATGGTGATGACGATGGTGATGGTGGTGTTGATGGTGGTGTTGATGTTGATGGTGTTGATGGTGGTGATGTTGGTGATGTTGTTGATGATGTTGATGGTGGTGTTGATGGTGATGATGATGATGGTGATGATGGTGATGACGATGGTGATGGTGGTGTTGATGGTGGTGTTGATGGTGGTGATGTTGGTGATGTTGTTGATGATGTTGATGGTGGTGTTGATGGTGTTGATGGTGGTGTTGATGGTGATGATGATGGTGATGATGGTGATGACGATGGTGATGTTGATGGTGTTGGTGGTGGTGGTGGTGATGTTGACGATGGTGGTGATGTTGGTGATGGTGGTGGTGTTGGTGATGTTGTTGATGATGTTGATGGTGTTGATGATGGTGTTGATGGTGATGATCGTGATGACGATGGTGATGTTGGTGATGGTGGTGGTGTTGATGGTGATGATGTTGGTGATGTTGTTGATGATGTTGATGGTGTTGTTGATGGTGATGATGATGGTGATGATGGTGATGACGATGGTGATGGTGGTGGTGTTGATGGTGATGATGTTGGTGATGTTGGTGATGGTGTTGATGATGGTGTTGATGGTGTTGATGATGGTGTTGATGATGATGGTGATGATGATGGTGATGATGATGGTGATGTTGGTGATGGTGGTGGTGTTGATGGTGATGATGTTGGTGATGTTGGTGATGCTGTTGATGGTGGTGTTGATGATGTTGTTGATGGTGGTGTTGATGATGGTGGTGATGTTGATGGTGGTGATGGTGTTGATGGTAGTGTGATGTTGATGGTGGTGATGGTGGTGATGGTGGTGATGTTGATGATGTTGGTGATGATGATGATGTTGTTGATGATGATGATGATGATGGTGATGATGATGATGGTGATGATGATGGTGTTGATGGTGGTGTTGATGATGATGATGATGGTGATGTTGATGGTCGTGTTGATGGTGGTGTTGATGGTGATGTTGTTGATGATGATGATGATGGTGTTGATGATGATGTTGATGATGATGTTGATGGTGATGATGTTGGTGATGTTGATGGTGTTGATGATGGTGTTGATGATGGTGTTGATGATGGTGTTGATGATGGTGTTGATGATGGTGGTGATGGTGATGTTGATGGTGATGATGGTGTTGATGATGGTGATGATGGTGATGATGGTGATGTTGATGGTGATGATGGTGATGATGATGGTGGTGATGTTGGTGATGTTGGTGATGGTGTTGATGGTATTGATGGTGGTGTTGATGTTGATGTTGTTGATGATGATGATGATGTTGATGGTGATGATGGTGATGATGGTGATGATGTTGGTGATGTTGGTGATGTTGGTGATGTTGGTGATGTTGGTGATGGTGGTGATGGTGTTGATGGTGATGATAATGGGGATGATGATGGTGATGTTGATGTTGATGGTGTTGATGTTGATGGTGTTGATGGTGATGATGATGGTGATGATGTTGTTGATGTTGATGGTGATGTTGATGGTGTTGTTGATGATGATGGTGATGATGTTGATGGTGATGTTGATGGTGTTGATGGTGATGATGATGTTGATGATGATGGTGGTGTTGATGTTGATGGTGTTGATGGTGTTGATGGTGATGATGATGGTGGTGATGATGGTGTTGATGATGATGGTGAAGATGTTGTTGATGATGGTGATGTTGATGATGATGGTGATGATGATGGTGATGATGATGATGATGTTGATGATGGTGTTGATGGTGATGATGTTGATGATGATGGTGATGTTGATGATGATGATGTTGATGGTGTTGATGATGATGGTGTTGATGATGATGTTGATGGTGATGATGATGGTGTTGATGGTGATGATAATGGTGATGATGTTGTTGATGATGTTGTTGATGATGTTGTTGATGATGTTGATGGTGATGATGTTGATGATGATGGTGATGATGATGGTGATGATGATGATGGTGATGATGATGATGATGATGTTGATGGTGATGATGATGGTGATGTTGATGATGTTGGTGATGATGGTGATGATGTTGATGGTGATGTTGATGATGATGATGGTGATGATGATGATGTTGATGTTGTTGATGGTGTTGATGGTGATGATGATGGTGATGTTGTTGATGGTGATGATGATGGTGATGTTGATGGTGTTGATGATGATGATGGTGTTGATGGTGATGATGATGATGATGTTGGTGATGTTGGTGATGATGATGATGGTGTTGATGGTGGTGTTGATGTTGATGATGATGATGGTGTTGATGGTGGTGATGTTGATGGTGATGATGTTGATGGTGTTGATGTTGATGATGTTGATGGTGTTGATGGTGTTGATGTTGATGGTGATGATGATGTTGATGATGTTGATGGTGATGGTGTTGATGGTGTTGATGTTGATGGTGTTGATGTTGATGATGTTGATGGTGTTGATGTTGATGGTGTTGATGGTGGTGATGATGATGGTGATGATGATGATGGTGTTGATGTTGATGGTGTTGATGGTGATGATGGTGATGGTGTTGATGATGATGGTGTTGATGTTGATGGTGTTGATGGTGTTGATGATGATGGTGTTGATGATGGTGGTGATGATGTTGATGTTGATGGTGATGATGATGTTGATGGTGTTGATGTTGATGGTGGTGATGTTGATGATGATGATGTTGATGGTGTTGATGTTGATGATGTTGATGTTGATGGTGTTGATGATGATGGTGTTGATGATGGTGTTGATGGTGATGATGATGGTGATGATGATGATGTTGATGGTGGTGATGATGATGGTGTTGATGTTGATGATGTTGATGGTGTTGATGGTGTTGATGATGATGATGGTGATGATGTTGATGGTGTTGATGATGATGATGATGTTGATGGTGATGATGATGTTGATGGTGATGATGTTGATGGTGTTGATGGTGGTGATGTTGATGGTGTTGATGATGGTGATGGTGATGATGTTGATGGTGTTGATGATGATGGTGTTGATGGTGGTGATGTTGATGTTGATGGTGATGTTGATGGTGATGTTGATGGTGTTGATGATGATGGTGTTGATGGTGGTGATGTTGATGGTGTTGATGTTGATGGTGATGTTGATGGTGTTGATGTTGATGATGATGGTGTTGATGGTGTTGATGATGATGGTGATGATGTTGATGGTGTTGATGTTGATGGTGTTGATGTTGATGGTGTTGATGGTGATGTTGATGTTGATGGTGATGTTGATGGTGATGATGATGATGTTGATGATGTTGATGATGATGATGTTGATGATGTTGATGATGTTGATGTTGATGATGATGGTGATGATGATGTTGATGGTGTTGATGGTGTTGATGTTGATGATGTTGATGATGTTGATGGTGTTGATGGTGTTGATGTTGATGATGTTGATGGTGTTGATGTTGATGTTGATGATGATGATGTTGATGGTGTTGATGATGATGATGTTGATGATGGTGTTGATGATGGTGTTGATGGTGTTGATGTTGATGGTGTTGATGTTGATGGTGATGTTGATGGTGTTGATGGTGATGATGATGGTGATGTTGATGGTGATGTTGATGGTGTTGATGGTGTTGATGATGTGAGTAGCAGGAACGCCGAATCTTCACCAACTTCCACCGCCAGCTCTTCTGCTGGCTCGACCGCTGGGTGGAGCTCACCATGGAGGACATCCGGCGCATGGAGGACGACACGCAGAAAGAGCTCGATGAGGTGGACTACACGCTCACCCACACGCTCACCCACACGCTCACCCACACACTCACCCACACGCTCACCCACACGCTCACCCACACACTCACCCACACACTCACCCACACGCTCACCCACACGCTCACCCACACACTCACCCACACGCTCACCCACACGCTCACCCACACGCTCACCCACACACTCACTCACTCGCTCACCCACACGCTCACCCACACGCTCACCCACACGCTCACCCACACGCTCACCCACACGCTCACCCACACACTCACCCACTCGCTCACCCACACACTCACCCACACGCTGACTCACCCACATGCTCACCCACACGCTCACCCACTCGCTCACCCACATGCTCACTCACCCACACGCTCACCCACACGCTCACCCACTCGCTCACCCACACGCTGACTCACCCACACGCTCACCCACACGCTCACTCACACGCTCACCCACACGCTCACCCACACGCTCACCCACTCGCTCACCCACACGCTGACTCACCCACACGCTCACCCACACGCTCACCCACTCGCTCACCCACACGCTGACTCACCCACTCGCTCACCCACACGCTCATCCACACGGTGACTCACCCACACGCTCACTCACTCACACGCTCACTCACTCACACGCTCACTCACTCACACGCTCACTCACCCACACGCTCACTCACCCACACGCTCGCTCACCCACACGCTCGCTCACCCACACGCTCACTCACCCACACGCTGACTCACTCACACGCTCACTCACCCACACACTGACTCACCCACACGCTCACTCACCCACACGCTGACTCACTCACACACTGACTCACCCACACGCTCACTCACTCACCCACAAGCTCACTCACCCACACACTGACTCACTCACACACTCACTCACCCACACACTGACTCACCCACACACTCACTCACACGCTCACTCACTCACCCACACACTGACTCACCCACACGCTCACTCACTCACACACTGACTCACTCACACGCTCACTCACTCACCCACACACTGACTCACTCACACGCTCACTCACCCACACACTGACTCACCCACACACTCACTCACTCACACACTCACTCACCCACACGCTCACTCACCCACACGCTCACTCACCCCACGCTCACTCACTCACACGCTCACTCACCCACACGCTCACTCACTCACCCACACGCTCACTCACCCACCCACTCACTCACCCACACGCTGACTCACTCACACGCTGACTCACTCACACGCTCACTCACCCACACACTGACTCACTCACTCACCCACTCACTCACACACTCACTCACACACTCACTCACTCACACACTCACTCACTCACACGCTCACTCACTCACACACTCACTCACCCACACGCTCACTCACCCACACACTCACTCACTCACACACTCACTCACACGCTCACTCACCCACACGCTCACTCACCCACACGCTCACTCACTCACACGCTCACTCACACGCTCACTCACCCACACGCTCACTCACTCACACGCTCACTCACCCACACACTCACTCACTCACACACTCACTCACCATCACGCTCACTCACTCACACGCTCACTCACTCACACGCTCACCCACACGCTAACCCACTCACACACTGACTCACCCACACGCTCACTCACTCACACGCTCACCCACACGCTAACCCACTCACACGCTGACTCACCCACACGATCACTCACTCACACACTCACCCACACGCTCACTCACCCACACGCTCACTCACCCACACGCTGACTCACCCACACGCTGACTCACCCACACGCTGACTCACTCACACACTGACTCACCCACACGCTGACTCACTCGCTCACCCACACGCTCACTCACTCACACACTGACTCACCCACACACTGACTCACCCACACGCTCACTCACCCACATGCTCACTAACTCACCCACACGCTCACTCACTCACTCACACGCTCACCCACACACTGACTCACCCACACACTGACTCACCCACACGCTCACTCACCCACATGCTCACTAACTCACCCACATGCTCACTAACTCACCCACACGCTCACTCACCCACACGCTCACTCACCCACACGCTCACTCACCCACACGCTCACTCACCCACACACTGACTCACCCACACGCTCACTCACTCACACGCTCACTCACTCACACGCTCACTCACCCACACGCTGACTCACCCACACGCTCACTCACTCACACGCTCACTCGCCCACACGCTCGCTCACCCCACGCTCACCCACCCCACGCTCACCCACCCCACGCTCACCCACCCCACGCTCACCCACCCCACGCTCACCCCACGCTCACCCACACGCTCACTCACTCCACGCTCACCCCACGCTCACCCACCCACACGCTCACTCACACACTCACTCACTCACTCACCCCACGCTCACCCCACGCTCACCCCACGCTCACCCCACGCTCACCCACCCACACGCTCACTCACACACTCACTCACTCACCCCACGCTCACCCCACGCTCACCCCACGCTCACCCCACGCTCACCCCACGCTCACCCACCCACACGCTCACTCACACGCTCACTCACTCACCCCACGCTCACCCCACGCTCACTCACCCACACACTGACTCACCCCATACGCTCACTCACCCACACGCTCACTCACCCACACACTGACTCACCTACACGCTCACTCACTCACACGCTCACTCACTCACACGCTCACTCACTCACTCACCCACACACTGACTCACTCACATCCTGACTCACCCACATCCTGACTCACCCATACGCTGACTCACTCACATGCTCACCCACACGCTCACTCACCCACACGCTCACTCACCCCACGCTCACCCCACGCTCACCCACCCCACGCTCACCCCACGCTCACCCCACGCTCACCCACCCCTCCCTCCTTCCGTTCCCAGATCCGACAGCGTGGGACCGTCCGTGGGACTACCGCTGCTGATGAGTGAGGGGGGTGGGGGGCTGCCAGGGCCCCCCCCTCACCCCCCCACCCCTCACCCCCACCCCTCACCCCCCCTCACCCCCCCACCCCTCACCCCCACCCCTCACCCCCCCTCACCCCCCCTCCACCCCACCCCTCACCCCCCCCTCGCCCCCACCCCTCACCCCCCCCCCCCTCCTTTGAACCCGCAAAGATTTCGATTTTCGATCCATTTCTAATAAAAACTCCTCCCTCGTCAAGAGTTTCCCACCCACACCACCACCCTCACCACCTCCCTCACCACCACCCTCACCACCACCCTCACCACCACTCTCACCACCACCCTCACCACCACCCTCACCACCACCACCCTCACCACCACCCTCACCACCCTCACCACCACCCTCACCACTACCCTCACCACCACCCTCACTACCCTCACCACCACCCTCACCACCCTCACCACCACCCTCACCACCACCCTCACCACCATCACCACCACCCTCACCACCACCCTCACCACCACCATCACCACCACCCTCACCACCACCCTCACCACCACCCTCACCACCACCCTCACCACCACCCTCACCACCACCCTCACCACCACCCTCACCACCATCACCACCACCCTCACCACCCTCATCCCCACCACCCTCACCACCACCCTCACCACCACCCTGCTCACCGCACGCACGCGCACACAGACAAAGCTCCCCCAGGTAGCCTCTAGCAGTGCTGTAGGGGCAAGTGCTGTCAGTAGCAGCAGCGCCTATAGACACACAGACAAAGCTCCCCCAGGTAGCCTGTAGCAGTGCTGTAGGGGCAAGTGCTGTCAGTAGCAGCAGCGCCCATAGACACACAGACAAAGCTCCCCCAGGTAGCCTCTAGCAGTGCTGTAGGGGCAAGTGCTGTCAGTAGCAGCAGCGCCCATAGACACACAGACAAAGCTCCCCCAGGTAGCCTCTAGCAGTGCTATAGGGGCAAGTGCTGTCAGTAGCAGCAGCGCCTATAGACACACAGACAAAGCTCCCCCAGGTAGCCTGTAGCAGTGCTGTAGGGGCAAGTGCTGTCAGTAGCAGCAGCGCCCATAGACACACAGACAAAGCTCCCCCAGGTAGCCTCTAGCAGTGCTGTAGGGGCAAGTGCTGTCAGCGCCCATAGACACACAGACAAAGCTCCCCCAGGTAGCCTCTAGCAGTGCTATAGGGGCAAGTGCTGTGGCCACACACAGAGGGGGTGGGTGGCCAGGATCACACCCGGTCGCCTTTGTCTGCTAGCGATGTGTTTACCACTACACACTACACTACACTATACACTACACTACACACACTACACTACACTATACACTACACTACACACACACTACACACATACTACACACACACTACACACACACTACACTACACACACACTACACACACACTACACTCACCACACACTACACACACTACACTACACACACACTACACACACACTACACTCACCACACACTACACACCACACTACACACCACCCACACACACCACACACTCACACCACACTACAAACACACACTACACACACCACACACACTACACTACACACACACTACACACCACACTACACTACACACCACACTACACTACACACCACACCACACTACACACCACACACTCACACCACACTACAAACACACACCACAAACACTACACTACACACCACACCACACACACTACACACCACACACACTACACACCACACACACTACACACCACACACTCACACCACACTACACACCACACTACACACACACTACACACACACACTACACACCACACACACTACACACCACACACACTACACACAACACACACACTACACTACACACCACACACACTACACACCACACTACACACCACACTACACACACACACTACACACACACTACACACCACACTACACACACTACACACGCACACACTACACACATCACACACTACACACACACTACACACCACACTACACACACACACTACACACCACACACTACACACCACACACACTACACACACTACACACCACACACTACACTACACACACTACACACACACTAGACTACACACCACACTACACTACACACACACTACACACACACACTACACACCACACTACACACACTACACACACACACTACACACACACACTACACTACACACCACACTACACTACACACACTACACTACACACACTACACTACACACCACACAGGTGGGGGAGGAGAGAGATGTAGGTGATGAGAGACAGAGGGATATGTGATGTGAGTGTGAGTGATGTTTATTAAGAGTAATAATTATCGCCTAAATATTGGGAACTAAACCAGCAATTGGCAGCATTGTCTCCCGTGTGAGACAGAGACACACACAGAGACAGACACAGACACACACAGACACACACAGAGACACACACAGAGACAGAGACACACAGAGACAGAGACACACACAGAGACAGAGACACACAGAGACAGACACAGACAGAGACACACACAGAGACAGAGACACACACAGAGACAGAGACACACAGACAGAGACACAGAGACAGAGACACACAGAGACAGAGACACACAGAGACACACACAGAGACAGAGACACACACAGAGACAGAGACACACACAGAGACAGAGACACACACAGAGACAGAGACACACACAGAGACAGAGACACACACAGAGACAGAGACACACAGAGACAGAGACACTACAGAGACACTACGGAGACACTAAACTCACTGTTTGTACTGAATCATGATGATGACAATGATGATACTTTACCGAATAAGATTTCTTGAAATGCCTTTTTTGACACAGATGTATAGATTTTAAGATTGATAATGACGGTAATGATGGTGGTGGTGATAATGGTGATGGGCGATGGTGGTGGTGATAATGGTGATTATGATGATGGGTGATGATAATAATGGTAATGGGCGATGGTGGTGGTGATGGTAGTGATGATGATGGTGATGGTAGTGTGATGATGGTGGTGGGGATAATGGCGATTATGATGGGTGATGATGATAATGGTGATGATGGTGGTGGTAGTGATGATGATGGTGGTGATGATGACGATGGTGATGATGTTGATGGTGGTGGAGGTGATAATGGTGATTATGATAATGGGTGATGATAATAATGGTGATGATGGTGGTGGTGATGGTAGTGTGATGTTGATGGTGGTGATAATGGTGATTATGATGATAATGGTGGTGATGATGATGGTGGTGGTGGTGATGATGATGATGGTGGTGGTGATAATGGTGATTATGATGATGGGTGATGATGGTGGTGGTGATGGTAGTGATGATGATGGTGATGGTGGTGGTGATAATGGTGATTATGATGATGGGTGATGATAATGGTGGTGGTGATGATGATGGTGGTGGTGATAATGGTGATTATGATGGTGATTATGATGATGGGTGATGATAATGGTGATGGTAGTGTGATGTTGATGATGGTGGTGATAATGGTGATGATGATAATGGTGATGATGGTGGTGATAATGGTGATTATGATGATGGGTGATGATGATAATGGTGATGATGGTGGTGGTGATAATGGTGATTATGATGATGGGTGATGATGATAATGGTGATGATGATGGTGGTGGTGGTGATGATGATGATGGTGGTGGTGGTAATGATGATGGTAATGGTGGTGATGTTGATGGGTGATGATAATAATGGTGATGCTAAAGTTTAAAACGAGGAGGGAGTGTTGCCTTGTTGTGTCGTTACGTCAGAAACTTACAAAAAAATAATAAAAAGTCGTCTCTCTGTCTCTGACAGAGTTCGAAATTCTCAAGTTCGTCTCGTGCCGTTTAAATAGCGCGCGTACAGTACGCGCAGTGCACCACGGCACGTACAGTGCGTGTACAGTGCGTGCAGTACGCGCGGTGCACCACGGTACATGCAGCGCACGTACAATACGCCGTGTGTACAGTGCGCGCTGTATACAGTGCGCGCACGTGGTGCGTACAGTGCGCCACGTGGTGCGGGCAGTGCGCGCACGTGGTGCGTACAGTGCGCGCACGTGGTGCGTACACTGCGAGCACGTGGTGTATACAGTGCGGGCACGTGGTTTAGTGGTATACAGTGCGCGCACAGTACACACCGGGCGCGTACAGTTCACGTACAACGCGCTGCGCGTACTGTACATACAGTATCTGCGTGCATTGCGTGTACAGTACATGTACAGTATACAAACGCAAGAGCAGTGATTGAAAGCTGCCAATCCTCGTGATTTTGTATCCTTAGGGGGTCGCTGTTAGACTCCCATCACTGAGGCTCACAGAGCCAGACTAAGGCTCCCATAGGGTTCATTGTTAATCACTGAGGCTCGCAGAGCCAGACTAAGGCTCCCACAGGGTTCAGTGTTAATCACTGAGACTCACAGAGCCAGACTAAGGCTCCCATAGGGTTCAGTGTTAATCACTGAGGCTGACAGAGCCAGGCTAAGGCTCCCATAGGGTTCAATGTTAATCGCTGAGGCTCACAGAGCCAGACTAAGGCTCCCATAGGGTTCAGTGTTAATCACTGAGACTCACAGAGCCAGACTAAGGCTCCCACAGGGTTCAGTGTTAATCACTGAGACTCACAGAGCCAGACTAAGGCTCCCACAGGGTTCAATCTTAATCGCTGAGACTCACAGAGCCAGACTGAGGCTCCCACAGGGTTCAGTGTTAATCACTGAGGCTCACAGAGCCAGACTAAGGCTCCCACAGGGTTCAGTGTTAATCACTGAGGCTCACAGAGCCAGACTAAGGCTCCCACAGGGTTCAATGTTAATCGCTGAGACTCACAGAGCCAGACTGAGGCTCCCATAGGGTTCAGTGTTAATCACTGAGGCTCACAGAGCCAGACTAAGGCTCCCATAGGGTTCAGTGTTAATCACTGAGACTCACAGAGCCAGACTAAGGCTCCCATAGGGTTCAGTGTTAATCGCTGAGGCTCACGGAAGACGTCTTCCGTCTGTTTTGTTTCAGCCGTTCTACCGATTCCGGAAGACGTCCGCTAAACCGGATGTTAGCGGCGCTTGACCAATGGGCGCGCGAGCTGCGGCCCCCGGCGGACTTCCGGCACGAGCCCCGGCGAGGTCACCGCTGAGGGGGGAGGGGCGGGGGGAGGGGCGGGGGGAGGGGCTCCACCAAACCCACATCGCCCGCCCCTAACCGCCCCCCGCCCACCACCCCCTAAGCCCCACCCCCTCCACACCCCGCCCCTCCCATCATCCAGCGAATCCCCCTCAACCGAACGCCCTCCACTACGCCCGGCCCCGCCTTCTCCGTCATAACCACGCCCTCCACTACGCCCGGCCCCGCCTTCTCCGTCATAACCACGCCCTCCACTACATCCGGCCCCGCCCCCGTCATAGCCACGCCCCCTCCCCCACGTGCTGGTAGTAGGGCCTGAAGCGCAGCCCTTGCAGGTGGGACGAGACGCCTCCAGCTCCTCTGGCTCCTTGTGACGTACGTCTCTCAGTCTTGTGGTGGTTGTTGTGGTGGTTGTTGTGGTGGTTGTGGTTGTTGTGACGTACGTCTCACTCTTGTGGTGGTTGTTGTGGTGGTTGTTGTGGTGGTTGTGGTTGTTGTGACGTATGTCGTCTCAGTCTTGTGGTGGTTGTTGTGGTGGTTGTGGTTGTTGTGACGTACGTCTCAGTCTTGTGGTGGTTGTTGTGGTGGTTGTTGTGGTGGTTGTGGTTGTTGTGACGTACGTCTCAGTCTTGTGGTGGTTGTTGTGGTGGTTGTTGTGGTGGTTGTGGTTGTTGTGACGTACGTCTCAGTCTTGTGGTTGTTGTGATTGTTGTGGTGGTTGTTGTTGTGGTGGTTGTGGTGGTGGTTGTTGTTGTGGTGGTTGTTGTGACGTACGTCTCAGTCTTGTTGTTGTTGTGGTGGTTGTTGTTGTGGTTGTGGTGGTTGTTGTTGTGGTTGTTGTGACGTACGTCTCTCAGTCTTGTTGTTGTTGTGGTGGTGGTTGTTGTGACGTACGTCTCAGTCTTGTGGTGGTTGTTGTGACGTACGTCTCTCAGTCTTGTGGTGGTTGTTGTGGTGGTTGTGGTGGTGGTGGTTGTTGTGGTGGTTGTTGTGGTGGTGGTTGTTGTGACGTACGTCTCAGTCTTGTGGTTGTTGTGGTGGTTGTTGTGGTGGTTGTGGTGGTGGTTGTTGTGGTGGTTGTTGTGACGTACGTCTCTCAGTCTTGTGGTGGTTGTTGTGGTGGTGGTTGTTGTGGTGGTTGTTGTTGTGGAGGTGGTTGTTGTTGTGGTGGTTATTGTGACGTACGTCTCTCAGTCTTGTGGTGGTTGTTGTGGTGGTGGTGGTTGTGGTGGTGGTTGTTGTGACGTACGTCTCTCAGTCTTGTGGTTGTTGTTGTGGTGGTTGTTGTGGTGGTTGTTGTTGTTGTGGTGGTGGTGGTTGTGGTGGTGGTTGTTGTTGTGGTGGTTGTTGTGGTGGTGGTTGTTGTGGTTGTTGTGGTGGTTGTTGTGGTGGTTGTTGTTGTTGTGGTGGTTGTTGTTGTTGTGGTGGTTGTTGTGGTGGTGGTTGTGGTGGTGGTTGTTGTGGTGGTTGTTGTGGTGGTTGTTGTGGTGGTGGTTGTGGTGGTGGTTGTTGTTGTGGTTGTTGTGGTGGTTGTTGTTGTGGTGGTTGTTGTTGTTGTGGTGGTTGTTGTTGTGGTTGTTGTGGTGGTGGTTGTTGTGGTGGTTGTTGTGGTGGTGGTTATTGTGGTTGTTGTTGTGGTGGTGGTGGTTGTGGTGGTGGTTGTTGTGACGTACGTCTCTCAGTCTTGTGGTGGTTGTTGTGGTGGTTGTTGTGGTGGTGGTTGTTGTGACGTACGTCTCTCAGTCTTGTTGTGGTGGTTGTTGTGGTGGTGGTTGTTGTGGTGGTGGTTGTTGTTGTGGTGGTTGTTGTGGTGGTTGTTGTTGTGGTTGTTGTTGTGGTGGTTGTTGTGACGTACGTCTCTCAGTGTTGTGGTGGTTGTTGTGGTGGTTGTGGTGGTGGTTGTGGTGGTGGTTGTTGTGGTTGTTGTTGTGGTGGTTGTGGTGGTTGTTGTGGTGGTTGTTGTGACGTACGTCTCTCAGTCTTGTTGTTGTTGTTGTGGTGGTGGTGGTGGTTGTTGTGACGTACGTCTCTCAGTCTTGTTGTTGTTGTTGTGGTGGTGGTTGTTGTGACGTACGTCTCTCAGTCTCTCAGTCTTGTGGTTGTGGTTGTTGTGGTTGTGGTGGTGGTTGTTGTGGTGGTGGTTGTTGTGATTATGGTTGTTGTGGTTGGTGGTTGTGGTGGTTGTTGTGGTGGTTGTGTCGCTGTGGGCTGTTGTAATGTAGTGGCGTGTAGTGTAGTGTATAGTGTAGTGTATTGTGTAGTAGTGTAGTGTATAGTAGTGTAGTGTATAGTAGTGTAGTGTATAGAAGTGTAGTGTATAGTGTAGTGTATTGTAGTGTGGTGTATAGTACTGTATAGTAGTGTAGTGTATAGTGTCTAGTAGTGTAGTATGTATAGTAGTGTACAGTAATGTAAGAGTGTACCGTAGTGTAGTGTGTAGTGGTGTAGTGTATAGTGTCTAGTAGTGTAGTGTGTATAGTAGTTTATAGTAGTGTAAGAGTGTATTGTAGTGTGTAGTGGTATAGTGTATAGTAGCGTAGTGTGTATAGTAGTGTATAGTAATGTAATAGTGTATAGTAGTGGAGTGTGTAGTGGTGTAGTGTATAGTGTATAGTAGCGTAGTGTGTATAGTAGTGTATAGTATTGTAATAGTGTATAGTAGTGGAGTGTATAGTACCGTATAGTAGTGTAGTGTATAGTGTCTAGTAGTGTAGTATGTATAGTAGTGTACAGTAATGTAAGAGTGTACAGTAGTGTAGTGTGTAGTGGTGTAGTGTATAGTGTCTAGTAGTGTAGTGTGTATAGTAGTTTATAGTAATGTAAGAGTGTAGTGTAGTGTGTAGTGGTGTAGTGTATAGTGTATAGTAGCGTAGTGTGTATAGTAGTGTATAGTATTGTAATAGTGTATAGTAGTGGAGTGTATAGTAGTGTAGTGTATAGTGTCTAGTAGTGTAGTGTGTATAGTAGTGTACAGTAATGTAAGAGTGTACAGTAGTGTAGTGTGTAGTGGTGTAGTGTATAGTGTCTAGTAGTGTAGTGTGTATAGTAGTTTATAGTAGTGTAAGAGTGTAGTGTAGTGTGTAGTGGTGTAGTGTATAGTGTATAGTAGCGTAGTGTGTATAGTAGTGTATAGTATTGTAATTGTGTATAGTAGTGGAGTGTATAGTAGTGTAGTGTATAGTGTCTAGTAGTGTAGTGTGTATAGTAGTGTACAGTAATGTAAGAGTGTACAGTAGTGTAGTGGTGTAGTGTATAGTCGCGTATTCGCGACCAGATTCCGGATGTGGAATCTTCAAATCGATGTCTCCCCCAGGTGATGTTGCTCGTGAGGCTGGTGAGTGCAGGGGTCAGGCCCTGGACACTTGCAGGTGAGGATTTTGCTCACCGATTTAAAGGCTGTAGCTGCTGTCAGCTGCACTCGCTCACCTAGCCACTCACCAACCCACTCGCTCACCTGCCCACTCACCTACCCACTCACCTACCCACTCACCTACCCACTCACCTGCCCACTCACGAACCCACTAGCTCACCTACCCACTCACCTACCCACTCACCAACCCACTAGCTCACCTACCCACTCACCTACCCACTCACCTACCCACTCGCTCACCTACCCACTCACCTACCCACTCACCTACCCACTCACCAACCTACTCACCTACCCACTCACCAACCCACTCGCTCACCGACCCACTAACCAACCCACTCGCTCACCTACCCACTCACCTACCCACTTACCTACCCACTCACCAACCTACTCACCTACCCACTCACCAACCCACTCGCTCACCGACCCACTAACCAACCCAATCGCTCACCTACCCACTTACCTACCCACTCGCTCACCTACCCACTCACCTACCCACTTACCTACCCACTCACCAACCGACTCGCTCACCTGCCCACTCACCCGTTCACTCACCAACCTACTCACTGTCACTCACCCACTCGCTCACCTACTCGCTCACCTACCCACTCACCCATTCACACGCTCACCCACTCACTCACCCTGTCACTCACTCACTCACTCACCCTGTCACTCACATACTCATCCATTCACTCATTTACCCATCCACTCACTGAACCACCACTCACTCATGCAGCCACTCACCCACTCATCCAACCACTCACCCCTCCATTCACTCACCCATCCACCCATCCACTCACCGATCCACTCACTCATCCACTCACCCACCCAATCACCCACCAACTCACTCACTCACCCACTCACTCATCCACCCATTCACTCACCAACGTACTCACTCTGTCACTCACTCATCCACCCACTCACTCATCATGTCACTCACTCACCTACTCATCCATCCACTCACTCAACCTACCCACTCGCTCATCCAGCCACTCATCCACTCATCCAACCACTCACCCATCCACTCATCCATCCACTCACCCATCCACTCACCAATCCACTCACTCATCCACTCACCCACTCACTCATCTACCCACTCAACCCACCCACTCACTCATCCACTCACCCACTCACTCATCCAGCCACTCACTCATCCAACTACTCACCCATCCACTCACTCACTCACTATATGGTTCTCTGTGTGAGTCTATGCATTTTTGTGCGAGTCTATGGGTGTATGGGTCTCTGCGTGAGTCTATGGGTCTCTGTGTGAGTCTGCGGGTCTCTGTGTGAGTCTATGTATCTCTGTGCGAGTCTATGGGTGTATGGGTCTCTGCATGAGTCTATGGGTCTCTGTGTGAGTCTATGGGTCTCTGTGTGAGTCTATGGGTCTCTGTGTGAGTCTATGGCTCTCTGTGTGAGTCTATGGCTCTCTGTGTGAGTCTATGGGTGTATGGGTCTCTGTGTGAGTCTATGGGTCTCTGTGTGAGTCTATGGGTCTCTGTGTGAGTCTATGGGTCTCAGTGTGAGTCTATGGGTCTCTGTGTGAGTCTATGGGTGTATGGGTCTCTGTGTGAGTCTGGGTCTCAGTGTGAGTCTATGGGTCTCTGTGTGAGTCTATGGGTCTCTGTGTGAGTCTATGGGTGTATGAGTCTCTGTGTGAGTCTATGGGTCTCTGTGATGCTATGAGTCTCTGTGTGAGTCTATGTATCTCTGTGCGAGTCTATGGGTGTATGGGTCTCTGTGTGAGTCTATGGGTCTCTGTGTGAGTCTATGGGTCTCTGTGTGAGTCTATGGGTGTATGGGTCTCTGTGTGAGTCTATGGGTCTCTGTGCGAGTCTATGGATCTCTGTGTGAGTCTATGGGTCTCTGTGTGAGTCTATGGGTCTCTGTGTGAGTCTATGGATCTCTGTGTGAGTCTATGGATCTCTGTGTGAGTCTATGAGTCTCTGTGTGAGTCTATGGGTCTCTGTGTGAGTCTATGGGTCTCTGTATGAGTCTATGGGTCTCTGTGTGAGTCTATGTATTTCTGTGTGAGTCTATGAGTCTCTGTGTGAGTCTATGGGTGTCTGTGTGAGTCTATGTATCTCTGTGCGAGTCTATGGGTCTCTGTGTGAGTCTATGGGTCTCTGTGTGAGTCTATGGGTCTCTGTGCGAGTCTATGGGTCTCTGTGTGAGTCTATGGGTCTCTGTGTGAGTCTATGGGTGTATGGGTCTCTGTGTGAGTCTATGGGTCTCTGTGTGAGTCTATGGGTCTCTGTGTGAGTCTATGGGTCTCTGTGTGAGTCTATGGGTATCTGTGTGAGTCTATGGGTCTCTGTGTGAGTCTATGGGTCTCTGTGTGAGTCTATGGGTCTCTGTGTGAGTCTATGGGTCTCTGTGTGAGTCTATGGGTCTCTGTGTGAGTCTATGGGTCTCTGTGTGAGGCTATGGGTCTCTGTGTGAGTCTATGGGTCTCTGTGTGAGTCTATGGGTCTCTGTGTGAGTCTATGGGTCTCTGTGTGAGTCTATGGGTGTATGGGTCTCTGTGTGAGTCTATGGGTCTCTGTGTGAGTCTATGTATCTCTGTGTGAGTCTATGTATCTCTTTGTGAGTCTATGGGTTTCTGTGAGTCTATGGGTCTCTGTGTGAGTCTATGGGTCTCTGTGTGAGTCTATGGGTCTCTGTGTGAGTCTATGGGTCTCTGTGTGAGTCTATGGGTTTCTGTGAGTCTATGGGTCTCTGTGACGCTATGGGTCTCTGTGTGAGTCTATGGGTCTCTGTGTGAGTCTATGGGTCTCTGTGTGAGTCTATGGGTCTCTGTGTGAGTCTATGGGTCTCTGTGTGAGTCTATGGGTGTATGGGTCTCTGTGTGAGTCTATGGGTCTCTGTGTGAGTCTATGTATCTCTGTGTGAGTCTATGTATCTCTGTGTGAGTCTATGGGTTTCTGTGAGTCTATGGGTCTCTGTGTGAGACTATGGGTCTCTGTGTGAGTCTATGGGTCTCTGTGTGAGTCTATGGGTCTCTGTGTGAGTCTATGTATTTCTGTGTGAGTCTATGGGTCTCTGTGTGAGTCTATGGGTTTCTGTGAGTCTATGGGTCTCTGTGTGAGTCTATGGGTCTCTGTGTGAGTCTATGGGTCTCTGTGTGAGTCTATGGGTCCCTCTTGAGAATGAATCTTGAGACTCATTCCTGCGTCTTTGCAGGGAGGCCTGGGTCCGCTCACCTCCTCACTCCCGCACCTCATCGCTGTGCACACAGCTCCACCTGCAAGGCAAGGGAGCTGAGCGAATGAGCGAGTGGGTGAGCGATGGTGTGGGTTGGTGAGTGATGGGGTGAGTTGGCGAGTGATGAGGTGGGTTGGTGAGTGATGGGGTGGGTTGGTGAGTGATGGGGTGGGTTGGTGAGCGATGGGGTGGGTTGGTGAGCGATGGGGTGAGTTGGTGAGCGATGGAGTGAGTTGGTGAGTGATGGAGTGAGTTGGTGAGTGATGGGGTGAGTTGGTGAGTGAGTGATGGGGTGAGTTGGTGAGCGATGGTGTGGGTTGGTGAGTGATGGGGTGAGTTGGTGAGTGATGAGGTGGGTTGGTGAGTGATGGGGTGGGTTGGTGAGCGATGGGGTGGGTTGGTGAGCGATGGTGTGGGTTGGTGAGTGATGGGGTGAGTTGGTGAGTGATGAGGTGGGTTGGTGAGTGATGGGGTGGGTTGGTGAGTGATGGAGTGGGTTGGTGAGCGATGGGGTGAGTTGGTGAGCGATGGAGTGAGTTGGTGAGTGATGGAGTGAGTTGGTGAGTGATGGGGTGAGTTGGTGAGTGAGTGATGGGGTGAGTTGGTGAGCGATGGTGTGGGTTGGTGAGCGATGGGGTGAGTTGGTGAGCGATGGGGTGAGTTGGTGAGCGATGGGGTGAGTTGGTGAGTGAGTGATGGTGTGGGTTGGTGAGCGATGGGGTGGGTTGGTGAGTGATGGGGCGGGTTGGTGAGCGATGGGGTGGGTTGGTGAGTGAGTGATGGGGTGAGTTGGTGAGCGAGTGAATGAGTGGGTGAGCGATAGAGTGAGTGGGTGAGTGAGTGGGTGCGTGAGCGGGTGGGTGAGTGGGTGCGTGGGTGAGTGAGTGGGTGAGTGAGTAGGTGGGTGAGTGAGTGGGTGAGTGGGTAAGTGAGTGAGTATGTGGGTGAGTGGGTGAGTGAGTGTGAGTGAGTAAGTGAGTGGGTGGGTGAGTGGGTGAGTGAGTGAGCGAATGTGAATGAGTGAGTGGGTGAGCGAGTGAGTGGGTGAGCGAGTGGGTGAGTGAATGAGTGAGTGGGTGAGCGAGTGGGTGGGTGGGTGAGTGTGTGAGTGAGTGAGTGGGTGAGTGAGTAGGTGGGTGAGTGGGTGAGTGAGTAGGTGGTGAGTGGGTGAGTGAGTGAGTGAGTGTGAGTGAGTGAGTGGGTGGGTGAGTGTGTGAGTGAGCGAGTGAGTGGGTGAGTGAGTGGGTGGGTGAGTGTGTGAGTGAGTGAGTGTGAGTGAGTGAGTGGGTGGGTGAGTGTGTGAGTGAGTGAGCGAGTGGGTGAGCGAGTGAGTGTGTGAGTGAGTGAGTGGGTGAGTGAGTAGGTGGGTGAGTGAGTGGGTGAGTGAGTGAGTCGGTGAGTGAGTGGGTGGGTGAGTGGGTGAGTGAGTGGGTGGGTGACGGTGGCTGTGTGGTGCCGTCTCTCCACGCAGGTTCCCCAACAGCCGACTTGGCGACCTGCCGAGGAGCCTCCACGTCCCGAGGTGAGGGGGGAGGGGCACCTCCACCCCTAGCAGCAGTCTCTCTCCACTGCTCAGTGGGAGACACTGAGGGGGAGACGTGAGGTTGGCACTGTGACCCTTTGACCTGTCGTGTGGTGACCCCTCCCCCCCCCTCTCTCCCCCACCCCCCCCCTCCCCCCCCTCCCCACCCCCAGGTGGAGGTGGCCCTACTGGGCCACCTGGAGCAGCAGGCCCTGGTGGCGTTTGGGAGCTCCGAGGCGTCCCAGCGCCTCGGAGACGCCGTGGAGTTCGCAGGGCGCCTACAGGCTGTGGATACTCACCGGGTGAGCCCCATGGTGAGCACCACTCACCACGACAGGTGAGTACTAACCACTCACTCACCACTCACTCACTCACCACTCACTCACCACTCACTCACCCACCCACTCACCCACCCACCTACCCACCTACCCACTCACTCACCCACTCACCCACTCACCACTCACTCACTCACCACTCACTCACTCACTCACCACTCACTCACCACTCACTCACCACTCACCCACCCACCCACCCACCCACCCACTCACCACTCACTCACTCACCCACCCACCCACTCACTCACCACTCACTCACCACCTCACTCACTCACCACTCACTCACCACTCACTCACCCACTCACTCACCACTCACCCACCACTCACTCACCCACTCACTCACTACTCACTCACCCACTCACTCACCACTCACCCACCCACTCACTCACCACTCACCCACCCACTCACTCATTCCTTCACTCACCCACACACTCACTCGCTCATTCCTTCACTCACCCACTCACTCCTTCACTCACCCACTCACTCTTTCACTCACTCGCTCATTCCTTCACTCACCCACTCACTCCTTCACTCACCCACTCACTCACTCCTTCACTCACCCACTCACTAGCTCATCCCTTCACTCACCCACTCACTCCTTCACCCACTCACTCACTCACTAGCTCACTCCTTCACTCAGTCACTAGCTCATCCCTTCACTCACCCACTCACTCACTCATTCCTTCACTCACCCACACACTCACTAGCTCATTCCTTCACTCACCCACACACTCGTTCATTCCTTCACTCACCCACTCCTTCACTCAGTCACTAGCTCATTCCTTCACTCAGTCACTAGCTCATTCCTTCACTTACTCACTCGCTCATTCCTTCACTCACCCACTCACTCCTTCACTAGCTCATTCCTTTACTCACCCACTCACTAGCTCACTCACCCACCCACTCACTCCTTCACTCACCCACTCACTAGCTCATTCCTTCACTCACCCACCCATTCACTCCTTCACTCACTCGTTCATTCCTTAACTCACTAGCTCATTCCTTCACTCACCCACTAGCTCATTCCTTCACTCACCCACTCACTAGCTCACTCATTCCTTCACTCACCCACACACTCACTCATTCCTTCACCCACACTCACCCACTAGCTCACTCATTCCTTCACCCACACTCACCCACTCACTCTTGCTCATTCCTTCACTCACCCACTCACTCACTAGCTCACTCCTTCACTCACTCGCTTACTCCTTCACTTACCCACTAGCTCATTCCTTCACTCACCCACACACTCACTCATTCCTTCACTCACCCACTCACTCTCGCTCATTCCTTCTCACCCACTCACTAGCTCATTCCTTCACTCACCCACACACTCACTCATTCCTTCACTCACCCACACACTCACTAGCTCATTCCTTCACTCACCCACTCTCTCACTCATTCCTTCACTCACCCGCACTCACTCATTCCTTCACTCACCCACTCACTCATTCCTTCACTCACCCACACACTCACTAGCTCATTCCTTCACTCACCCACTCACTCACTCATTCTTTCACTCACCCACACACTCACTAGCTCATTCCTTCACTCACCCACTCACCCTCACTCATTCCTTCACTCACCCACTCACTAGCTCATTCCTTCACTCACTCCTTCACTCACCCCACACATTCACTAGCTCATTCCTTCACCCACTCAGTCCACTCCTTCACTCACTAGCTCACTTCTTCACTCACCCAGTAGCTCATTCCTTCACCCACTCACTAGCTCACTCCACCCACTCACTAGCTCATTCCTTCACCCACTCACTAGCTCATTCCTTCACCCACTCACTAGCTCATTCCTTCACCCACTCACTAGCTCACTCCTTCACTCACTAGCTCACTTCTTCACTCACCCAGTAGCTCATTCCTTCACCCACTCACTAATTCCTTCCACCCACTCACTAGCTCATTCCTTCACTCACTAGCTCACTTCTTCACTCACCCAGTAGCTCATTCCTTCACCCACTCATTAGCTCATTCCTTCACCCACTCACTAGCTCATTCCTTCACTCACTAGCTCACTTCTTCACTCACCCAGTAGCTCATTCCTTCACCCACTCAGTAGCTCATTCCTTCACCCACTCAGTAGCTCATTCCTTCACCCACTCACTAGCTCATTCCTTCACCCACTCACTAGCTCATTCCTTCACCCACTCACTAGCTCATTCCTTCACTCACTAGCTCACTTCTTCACTCACCCAGTAGCTCATTCCTTCACTCACTCACTCATTCCTTCACTCACCCACTCACTAGCTCATTCCTTCACTCACCCACTCACTAGCTCATTCCTTCACTCACACACTCATTCACCCACTCACTAGCTCACTCCTTCACTCACCCAGTAGCTCATTCCTTCACCCACTCACTAGCTCATTCCGTCACTCACTAGCTCACTTCTTCACTCACCCAGTAGCTCATTCCTTCACCCACTCACTAGCTCATTCCTTCACTCACCCACTCACTAGCTCATTCCTTCACTCATTCCTTCACTCACCCACTCACTAGCTCATTCCTTCACTCACCCACTCACTAGCTCACTCCTTCACTCACTCACTAGCTCATTCCTTCACTCACTCACTCCTTCACCCACTCACTAGCTCACTCCTTCACTCACACTCCCCCCCCTCCCCCCACCCACTATGGCCGCACAGGGAGGAGCTGCTGTAACCGCTCCACTCGTTTATTATTCCACATCCTCCGACAACCCCCCCCCCACCCACACCCCCCAACACCAACACCCCAGGAGGAGTCTGTGGCTGCGAAGCGACGAGGTGACGGAGGGCGGCCCGCGTGGACGATGTGATGATGAACGCTCGTCTCGTGGAGGACGACTACTACGTCGCTCCACCAGGTGACAGAAACCTCCCACCACCAACCTCCCCCTTTTTTACCCTTTCTGGCGATGAAACGTGTACCAGACACAGAATATAAACCCGTCCAGCGAGCGAATCAAGTTCGCATTTAGCCACGCGCACAACGGCAACCTTGTGGTGAACACGCCCGAACGTAGTAATAGGTTTTTACCCTTTTATCTGGCACAACAACTGACGCCTTTATACAAGGCATCGTGTTTGCAATAGCCACAACACAAGCAGTCAAAATGCAAACAAAAAGAGACAACTCTGATAATGATAATATTGGCACTGTCCTTGAATTTTAATTGGTCCAACACCAGAGACGGCTTTTCTTAGGACCCCTTTAGTCTCTCCACTGGTGTTGGACCAGAAGACGCCAAAAGGCGTACAACTCAAACACAGCGCACCGTCAGAGTTATTGAGGGCTCGGGGTGAGCACTTACATTATGAGACCTCCTTAGCCAGTAGCAAGATATAGGAATAGTTTTTACCCTTTTAACTGGCACAAAACTGACGCCTTTATACAAGGCATCGTGTTTGCAATAGCCACAACACAAGCAGTCAAAATGCAGACAAAAGAGACAACTCTGATAATGATATTGGCACTGTCCTTGAATTTGATTGGTCCATACCCGAGACGGCTTTTCTTAGAGCCCCTTAGTCTCTCCACTGGTGTTGGACCAGAAGACGCCAAAAGGCGTACAACTCAAAAACAGCACACTATCAGAGTATTGAGGGCTCGGGGTGAGCATTTACATTATGAGACCTCCTTGCCAGTAACAAGATATAGTAATAGGTTTTTACCCTTTTAACTGGCAACAAAACTGACGCCTTTCATTCAAAAGGGGCATCGTGTCTGCAATAGCCACAACACAAGCAGTCAAAAATGCACACAGAAAAAGACAACTCTGATAATGATAATATTGGCACTGTCCTTGAATTTTAATTGGTCCACACCCGAGACGGCTTTTCTTAGAGCCCCTTTAGTCTCTCCACTGGTGTTGGACCAGAAGACGCCAAAAGGCGTACAACTCAAAAACAGCGCACCGTCAGAGTTATTGAGGGCTCGGGGTGAGCACTTACATTATGAGACCTCCTTAGCCAGTAGCAAGATACAGGATATGGTTTTTACCCTTTTAACTGGCACAAAAACTGACACCTTTATTCAAGGCATCGTGTTTGCAATAACCACAACACAAGCAGTCAAAAATGCATCATCTGGTCCAACACCAGTGGAGAGACTAAGGGCTCTAAGAAAAAGCCGTCTCGGGTGTGGACCAATCAAATTCAAGGACAGTGCCAATATCATTATCAGAGTTGTCTCTTTTCGTTTGCATTTTGACGGCTTGGTGTTGTGGTTATGCAAACACGATGCCTTGAATAAAGGTGTCAGTTTTGTGCCAGTTAAAAGGGTAAAAACCTATTACTATATCTTGCTACTGGCTAAGGAGGTCTCATAATGTAAACGCCCCAACATGTCGCAGTGACAGAGGGCGCTTTCAAAAAAGTTTTAACATTCACGTGGGAACTCCCCTTGGCCAGTTGACAAAATAAGAGAATAGATTTATTTAAAGTTTTCGTGACCGAAGGGATCCACGCTCTTTGGGGATGGGCAACACAAGGCGGTGGTCATGAGGTGGGTGTGGGAGGGGCTGGGTGGAGGCTGGGTGGGAGGGGTGGGGCTGAGTGGGGAGGGGCTGGGTGTGGGGGGAGGGGCTGGGTGGGGAGGGAGGGGCGGGGCTGGGTGTGGGGGAGGGGCTGCTCACCCCGTGGTGCCCCCCCCCCCTTATAAAACTCAACGTTTCACCAACTCACGCCAGCCTTGTGCACCCGCCCTCACAGCCGGCACATTGTGTGGAACACACACCACGTGGTGTGAAGAAGCACACCACGTGGTGTGTGAAGCACACGCCACGTGGTGTGTAGAACGCACCACGTGGTGTGTGAAACGCACCACGTGGTGTGTGAAACGCACCACGTGGTGTGTAGAACGCGCCACGTGGTGTGTAGAACGCGCCACGTGGTGTGTAGAACGCACCACGTGGTGTGTGTAGAACGCACCACGGTGGTGTGTGTAACGCACCACGTGGTGTGTAGAACGCACCACGTGGTGTGTGAAACGCACCACGTGGTGTGTGAACGCACCACGTGGTGTGTAGAAACGCGCCACGTGGTGTGTTAGAACGCGCCACGTGGTGTGTAGAACGCACCACGTGGTGTGTGTAGAACGCGCCACGTGGTGTGTGGAACGCGCCACGTGGTGTGTAGAACGCACCACGTGGTGTGTGGAACGCACCACGTGTTGTGTGGAACGCACCACGTGGTGTGTGGAACGCACCGACGTGGTGTGTGGAATGCCCCACGTGGTGTGTGGAACGCACCACGTGGTGTGTGTAACGCACCACGTGGTGTGTGGAACGCACCACGTGGTGTGTGGAACGCACCACGTGGTGTGTGGAACGCACCACGTGGTGTGTGGAACGCACCACGTGGTGTGTGGAACGCACCACGTGGTGCCGCAGCCTCCGCCGCTGTTGTTGTTGTTGACCCTGGCCATTGACCTGGCAACCCCAAACCTTCCTACGCAGCAGCTCCCTCAACCCCCCCCCCCCCCCCCCCCCCCCCCGGGGCAGGAGAATGCCTTTCGTTGCCTTGCTGCGCGAGGCTTTGCCGAAACAACCAGAGGGGGGCGTCGATTCCTGCGGTCACGAATGCCTCGCAATCGCCGCCGCAATCGCCGCCGCAGCGTTCAACATCTCGGGGACCAATCTCGCGTCTTCACACGGAGCGGAACCTCGCGGTTAACCCGCCGCTCCGGATCCTTGCGCAGGTAACATCCCGCTGCCCGGGGGGAGCTTGGAGCCGGTCGCGATGAGCCTGCCGGGCAGGCGGCAGCAGCAGCAGCAGCAGCAGCCGCCCAACAACGACAACCCCGCCAGCGACCTGGACGAGTTCTGACGCTGAACCCCGGCTAAATGTTACGGGTGGACAATGAGAGGTTTTTCCATGACCACCGCCTTGTGTTGCCCATCCCCAAAGAGCGTGGATCCCCTTAGATGGGACGTGGCTATATATATATTAATGTTTTGACAAATTCGTACTCGTTGGTTCTGTTCGGTAAAGTCACGTAGGTAAAGGGAAAAATGAAACGACAAAAATGACGACGTTTCGGCCACAACGCAAGCGGCCTTCATCAGGTGAAGGGAGGACAGCGCTGGAGTGAAACAGGAGCCAAGCTCAGACTACGACCTTTAAGCTGTGCGAGAGGGATTAAGGTGCCTCGACAAAGGAATTAGCGTTAAAAAAAATTAGCATTTGATTGGCGGACTTAGCATGATGAAAGGTGTAGCACAGTGATTGGCACCGGCCAGTGCTTGCGAAAGTTTGGGGCACCACCACTACTTGAAGGAAATATACTGTACCAATGAAAATTAGTTGAATTGTTGGTTCGATTGAGAACGTCTTTCCAATGGTTGCTTAATTTGAAAACCATCTTTCTCGGTTGAAATTGTGCCTTGTGTTTGTAGGTCTGAATTGCCTCCTCGTGAACAAATCTCTGATAAAAAAAAAACCCTGTGGGTTTTGTTCAAGCGCTGCGGACTGTTAAACCGGTACTTTCTTTCTATTTGCTTACGCGTTTTGTTTACGTGACGGTCCATGACTAATCGGCTTTGCCGACACGTTTGTATCGACGCCCCCCCAAAAAAAAAAATGAACATCTTGCCGGTCTTCTTTGGTTCTTTCGGTAAAGTCACCGCGTATAATGAGAATAAAAGGATGAAACAAAAACAATAAAATTATCACGCGACGTTTCGGCCACGACACAAGTGGCCTTCTCTTCAGGTGAAAGGAACAAACCCCTGGTCGGGGACTTTACCGAAAGAACCGAAGGAGATGAACCCTTGCTAGTCGCGGAGCTTTAAAATCGAAATCTTGTCGGTTCGCGAAAAGTCTCCTTGCGTTAAAAATGTACAGTCGTTCTCCTACGGACGCTGGTGGTGGGTCGTTATGGGGAGGAAGGGGGAAGAAATTGGGTTGAAAAAAAATCATACTGGGGGACTTTTGTACTTACGAAATAGTTTTTGGTTCCAGACGTCCGTGTTTTCGCGAGTCCAACTTGTGGTCCCGTCGATTCCAAACGCATTGTAACAGAGTGAAAAACTAAAACACGGGGGGGTGAACGCCTTGAAGGTTGTATATCTCCTGTAGATGCCACTGGTTCTCACGTTCTGCAGATGTAGATGCCACTGGTTCTTCACGTTCTGCAGATGTAGAACGCCACTGGTTCTTCACGTTCTGCAGATGTAGATGCCACTGGTTCTTCACGTTCTGCAGATGTAGATAACACTGGTTCTTCACGTTCTGCAGATGTAGATGCCACTGGTTCTTCACGTTCTGCAGATGTAGATGCCACTGGTTCTTACGTTCTGCAGATGTAGATGCCACTGGTTCTTCACGTTCTGCAGATGTAGATGCCACTGGGTTCTTCACGTTCTGCAGATGTAGATGCCACTGGTTCTTCACGTCTGCAGATGTATGATTGCCACTCGGGTTCTGCAGATGTTAGATAACACTGGTTTCTTCACGTTCTGTAGATGTAGATGCACTGGTTCTTCACGTTCTGCAGATGTAGATGGCACGGTTCTTGCACCGTTCTGCAGATGTAGATGCCATACTGCTCCTTCACGTTTCTGCAGAGGTCGATGCCACTGGTTCTTCACGTTCTGCAGGATGTAAGTGCCACTAGGTTTCTTCACGTTCCTGCAGATGTAGCATGTGCCCACTGGTTCTTCACGTCTGCAGAGGTAGAATGCCACTGGGTTTCTTCACGTTCTGCAGATGTAATAACACTGGTTCTTCACGTTCTGCAGATGTATACGCCACTGGTTCTTCACGTTCTGCAGATGTAGATGACACTGATGTTCGTCCGTTCTGCAGATGTAGATGCCACTAGTTCTTCACGTTCTGCAGATGTAGATGCCACTGGTTCTTCACGTTCTGCAGATGTAGAGGCCACTGGTTTCACATTCGGCAGATGTAGATGCCACTGGTTCTTCACGTTCTGCAGATGTAGATGCCACTGGTTCTTAACGTTCTGTAGATGCCACTGGTTTCTTCACGTTCTTGCGGATGTAGATGCCACTGGTTCTTCACGTTCTGCAGACGTAGATGCCACTGGTTCTTCACGTTCTGCAGATGTAGATGCCACTGTTCTTCACGTTCTGCAGATGTAGATGCCACTGGTTCTTCACGTTCTGCAGACAGATGCCACTGGTTCTTCACGTTCTGCAGATGCCACTGGTTCTTCACGTTCTGCAGACGTAGATGCCACTGGTTCTTCACGTTCTGCGGATGTAGATTCCACTGATTCTTTACGTTATGCAGATGTAGATGCCACTGGTTTCTTCACGTTCTGCGGATGTAGATGCCACTGTTCTTCACGTTCTGCGGATGTAGAGCCACTGGTTCTTCACGTTCTGCGGATGTAGATGCCCACTGGTTCTTCACGTTCTGCCGGATGTAGATGCCACTGGTTCTTCACGTTCTGCGGATGTAGATGCCACTGGTTCTTCACGTTCTGCGGATGTAGATGCCACTGGTTCTTCACGTTCTGCAGATGTAGATGCCACTGGTCTTCACGTTCTGCAGACAGATGCCACTGGTTCTTCACGTTCTGCAGATGTAGCCACTGGTTCTTCACGTTCTGCAGATTGTAGACGCCACTGGTTCTTCACGTTCTGCGGATGTAGACGCCACTGGTCTTCACGTTCTGCGGATGTAGATTGCCACTGGTTCTTCACGTTCTGCGGATGTAGATGCCACTGGTCTTCACGTTCTGCGGATGTAGATGCCACTGGTTCTTCACGTTCTGCAGATGTAGATGCCACTGGTTCTTCACGTTCTGCAGATGTAGATGCCACTGGTTCTTCACGTTCTGCAGATGTAGATGCCACTGGTTCTTCACGTTCTGCAGATGTAGATGCCACTGGTTCTTCACGTTCTGCAGATGTAGATGCCACTGGTTCTGCAGATGTAGATGAACACTGGTTCTTCACGTTCTGTAGAGTAGATGCCACTGGTTCTTCACGTTCTGCAGATGTAGATGGCACTGGTTCTTCACGTTCTGCAGACTGTAGATGCCACTGGCTCCTTCACGTTCTGCAGATGTAGATGCCACTGGTTCTTTCACGTTCTGCAGATGTAGATGCCACTGGTTCTTCACGTTCTGCAGATGTAGATGCCACTGGTTCTTCACGTTCTGCAGATGTAGATGCCACTGGTTCTTCACGTTCTGCAGATGTAGATAACACTGGTTCTTCACGTTCTGCAGATGTATGCCACTGGTTCTTCAACGTTCTGCAGATGTAGATGACACTGGTTCTTCACGTTCTGCAGATGTAGATGCCACTAGTTCTTCACGTTCTGTCAGATGTAGATGCCACTGGTTCTTCACGTTCTGCAGATGTAATGCCACTGGTTCTTCACATTCTGCAGATGTAGATGCCACTGGTTCTTCAACGTTCTGCAGATGTAGATGCCACTGGTTCTTAACGTTCTGTAGATGCCACTGGTTCTTCACGTTCTGCGGATGTAGATGCCACTGGTTCTTCACGTTCTGCAGACGTAGATGCCACTGGTTCTTCACGTTCTGCAGATGTAGATGCCACTGGTTCTTCACGTTCTGCAGATGTAGATGCCACTGGTTCTTCACGTTCTGCAGACAGATGCCACTGGTTCTTCACGTTCTGCAGATGCCACTGGTTCTTCACGTTCTGCAGACGTAGATGCCACTGGTTCTTCACGTTCTGCGGATGTAGATGCCACTGATTCTTTACGTTCTGCAGATGTAGATGCCACTGGTTCTTCACGTTCTGCGGATGTAGATGCCACTGGTTCTTCACGTTCTGCGGATGTAGATGCCACTGGTTCTTCACGTTCTGCAGGATGTAGATGCCACTGGTTCTTCACGTTCTGCAGGATGTAGATGCCACTGGTTCTTCACGTTCTGCAGATGTAGATGCCACTGGTTCTTCACGTTCTGCAGACAGATGCCACTGGTTCTTCACGTTCTGCAGATGCCACTGGTTCTTCACGTTCTGCAGATGTAGACTGCCACTGGTTCTTCACGTTCTGCGGATGTAGACGCACTGGTTCTTCACGTTCTGCGGATGTAGATGCCACTGGTTCTTCACGTTCTGCGGATGTAGATGCCACTGGTTCTTCACGTTCTGCGGATGTAGATGCCACTGGTTCTTCACGTTCTGCAGATGTAGATGCCACTGGTTCTTCACGTTCTGCAGATGTAGATGCCACTGGTTCTTCACGTTCTGCGGATGTAGATGCCACTGGTTCTTCACGTTGTGCAGATGTAGATGCCACTGGTTCTTCACGTTCTGCAGATGTAGATGCCACTGGTTCTTCACGTTGTGCAGATGTAGATGCCACTAGTTCTTCACGTTCTGCAGATGTAGATGCCACTGGTTCTTCACGTTCTGCAGCTGTAGATGCCACTGGTTCTTCACGTTCTGCAGCTGTAGATGCCACTGGTTCTTCACGTTCTGTAAATGTAGATGCTACTGGTTCTTCACGTTCTGCAGATGTAGATGCCACTGGTTCTTCACGTTCTGCAGATGTAGATGCCACTGGTTCTTCACGTTCTGCAGATGTAGATGCCACTGGTTCTTCACGTTCTGCAGATGTAGATGCCACTGTTCTTCACGTTCTGCAGACGTAGATGCCACTAGTTCTTCACGTTGGGCAGACGCAGATGCCTCAGTTCTGCAGATGTATGCCTTTCTTCACGTTCTGCAGACGTAGATGCCACTGGTTCTTCACGTTGTGCAGACGTAGATGCCACTGGTTCTTTACGTTCTGCAGATGTAGATGCCACTGGTTCTTCACGTTCTGCAGACGTAGATGCCACTGGTTCTTCACGTTCTGCAGATGTAGATGCCACTGGTTCTTCCCGTTCTGCAGACGTAGATGCCACTGGTTCTTCACGTTCTGCAGACGTAGATGCCACTGGTCGTTCACGTTCTGCAGACGTAGACGCCACTGGTTCTTCACGTTCTGTAGATGTAGATGCCACTGGTTCTTCACGTTCTGCAGATGTAGATGCCACTGGTTCTTCACGTTCTGCAGACGTAGATGCCACTAGTTCTTCACGTTGGGCAGACGCAGATGCCACTGGTTCTTCACGTTCTGCAGATGTAGATGCCACTGGTTCTT